AGCCACCGTGCCCGAACGATTGATTTTTAAGAAAGGAAGCCTCACTCTGTCACCCAGGCTGGAGTGCAGTGATGTGATCATAGCTCACTATAGCCTTGACCTCTTGGGCTCAAGCAATCCTTCCTCCTCAGTCTCCTGTGCAGCTGGGACTGTAGACATACATCACCATGCCTGGCTAACTTTTTTCACTTTTTGTAAAGAGACAGGGTCTCGTTATCTTGCCCAGGCTCATCTCGAACCCTGACCTCAGGCAGTCCTCTTTTGGCCTCTCAAAATGTTTGGACTACAGGCATGAGCCATCCATACTCGGCCATTTTATTTTTTTATTTTTAGCTTTTAAAATTTCACTATAAATAAGCCATACTTATAAAACCAAGTAAAATAAAATAAGTTTGTATGACTTAGAAGTAGAAGAGAAGAGGCAGAGGAGATGAGAGGAGAAGTTGGTTCTAAATTCTTCATCTTACCAATGGAGGCTTAGCGCTCAATTTTCTAGGGTTAACGAAACGTAAGTAGAGATGTAGGCATCTTGCAAGTTGTGGAGAAAGCTAATGGAGACTGTAGGATGAGCTTATTTGACCATAAGTATCCGGTGAGGAGAAAACCAAGTAGGGCCGGGCGCAGTGGCTCATGCCTATAATTGTAGTGCTTTGGGGGGCCAAAGTGGGCGGATTGCCTGAGGTCAGGAGTTCGAGACCAGTCTGGGCAACACGGTGAAACCCTGTCTCTACTAAAATACAAAAAGTTAGCCGGGTGTGGCGGTGTGCACCTGTAGTCCCAGCTACTCAGGAAGCTGAGGCAGGAGAATTGCTTGTACCTGCAAGGCAGGGGTTGCAGGGAGCTGAGACTACGCCACAGCACTCCAGCCTGGGTGACAGAGTGAGAATCCATCTCCAAAAAAAAAAAAAAAAAGAAAAAAACAAAAACAAAAAAACAAGACGAGGCTTGGTGTAGTTGAGTAACATTCACGCCTATTGCAGCAGAAACCTAAAGTACTGTCTGAGACTGATAAAGTAAGATATTACAACACTGAAGATAAGAAGGACATTGACAAAAAACAGACCAACTTTCACCCTAAATAACAAGGATGTAAGTATGGACCCAATCACCAGAACTATAAATAGAAGCTGTTCAAAGTGGTACCCCTTAGGGATCAAAACTAAGATGAGGCCGGAAAGCACTTCTCCTTATCATAAATCCCTGAGGTATGCTATTTATTCTTCAAGCAGATTTTATAACATACTGATTCAAAAACAAGTAGTATGATACCAATTTCAGTTTCTACTAATGTCATCCAGTATGGCTTTGTCCTTATTAGGATGAATGAAACTACTTTCTAAACACTAAACATTTCTAAATTCTCTCTGATGCTATTATTTTGACATAAGAGCATGCTAATTGCTCCTGAAAAGCCAAACAATTGTTATCTTCTCTAAAAACTGTATTACCTAATCTTGGATGTCAATACTGTTATTTGAAAGATTACATAAGGCAGTTTGGCTAAAACTAAAGAACTGTTACTTCAGTTCCAAAAGCAGGACAAGGAGATTTACAAACACACCTACCACCTCAAAATGGACCCTTTTGCCTATAATTTATGTATTAAATGGATTCAAGTTTTGTTCCCAATGAGATGCTCAATGTTAGTAAACTCATATATTTAAAAAGGGCTCACCATTCGTTGACAAACTTGAATGCCCTTGGAGAACTTTTCCAAAGCTACCAATGCAATGGTACAGTGTTTGCTAACCCACCTGAGCTATTAAGATTTCTTTTCATTGAGCAATCACTCAGAATTTTTTTCTGGCCTACTTTTTTTGACATCATAATATGTTCTTCTCTTTAGTCATATTAAAGAAATTAGAAAATACAGGGCCAGGTGCGGTTGCTCATGCCTATAATTCCAGCACTTTCGGAGGCCAAGGCAGGCAGATCATTTGAGGTCAGGAGTTCAAGACCAGCCTGGCCAACGTGGCAAAACCCCATCTCTATTAAAAAAAAATTAAAAAAAAAATAGTGGGGCATGGTGGTGCACACCTGTGATCCCAGCTACTCAGAAGCTGAAGCACGAGAATCACTAGAACCTGGCATGTAGAGGTTGCAGTGAGCCAAGCTCATGCCACTACACTCCAGCCTGGGCAACAGAGTGAGACTCTGTCTCAAATAATAATAATAATAATAATAAAGTAGAAAATACAGCACCATCAAGTGACTGCTTCCCAGTCTAAGTTCTATCTAATGAAACCACATATTGGTCACAACTCCGTGAGTCCAAAGAACAAGTTTTGAAGAAAGGGCTTGTGAGTGAATTTAGATGGTATGATATTGGGGTAATTCTCTTTTCACATTAAGTGCTTTGTGGACGTGACTCTGATGGGCGTTATAGGGTCAATAAAATATTAGCCCTTCCTGCCCCCATCGTGGTGCTCAATAAAGGCTGGTTGAATTCAAAGCCCAGCCTCCTCAACCTACTGGTGAATGACATGAAAGAGTTAACGCTTTGAAAATTGACATGGCCCTGCAGAATCCCTCCCAGATTTCAGGAAGCACAATTGTAAAGCCCAAACTGACAAGTACAGCTTTCCTAAACCTTAGTAATGGAGGCCTTTTGTGCAGATCTGGAAGATTAGATAGTTTATAAGTATGATATAGATTCTGTGGCCAAATGAGCTGCAGAACAATTCTAAAGCCATTATTCCTCTTTCTAAATAATTCTTCCCTTTGAAAGAGTTAAGTCATTTTGCTTGGAAAAATTAACCATGTAACCATTAATCATTAATTTTATGTAATTTTTCTTAACTGATTAAAAATACTGATTTTATTGTTTTTCTAAGTCTTTGCCTTAAGTGTAAGAAAAAAAATGGACTAAAGTACTAAGTGTGACTAGCCAGATATTTTTAAAAATTGGTTTAATGCCTTTTACTGAGTTGGGAAAAAAAAAAAAAAACTTAGTAAAAGCCTTAGAAAAGTTCATAGCTAAAACTGAAAGAAGCCCAAGAAGTGACTATATTTGCATAACTTGATCTGTACTTGGAAAAAAATTCCACTGAAGACAACAGTGGAAGCTTATCAAATCAGAATTTTACATAGATTTTTCCATAGCCCTACTAAAGAATACTGACTCATTGGTCAGTTATGGTGAAAATTTAATGGAGCGCTAAGAAATGCATGAATCAGAGTGTGTTTAGCGGTTCCATTGCTTCAGTATGAAAACTACATTAGGCATCCAGCTTCCCTAACGCTTTCTGAGACCAATTCTAGAGCACTGTAGTAATTAATTCTTCAGCATTTCATGTGGAGCCAGACCCTGCCACTGAATTAAAACCCCTTTTATTTTGCCCCGGTCATGAAAAACTCAGACATTATGTAAAATTAGGATTATTGGCTGCTTAGCTGGTTTTATATTTTTCAAGATGACAGTTAACCTGCAACTGAATCTTTTCTAAGAAAACGATCTTCTATAGGATGAATTCTAAGGCAGAACTGAAGGTACTAGTAATACTACTTAGTGAAGTTGAATCTGTAGAGGGTTAATTACTGTCTACAACTCAGAAAAGTATTATACATCAGAGAGTAAAAGTCTGAGGCAAGTCTGATTTAAAGCAGGGTCCTAGTTTTACTCCTAAATCCTAAGAAGTTCATATTCTATTAGTAATGTGTATGCTTTTGCTTCATGAAATTTCACCTTCTACAATTGGTTCAAAGTGCCAGCTAATTTTTCAGATATGTTCCCTGTTTCAAAACAGACTGAAACTGATAGATTGCACAGTTATAAATTATTTAAATGCTTATCTTTTAAAGTAATGCTGAAAAAATTAAGATCTGCTTTGCCCTCTTCATGAGAAATGATTGCTTATTAAATCGCCTCTCGATTTCTATAAAGATTAGCCAGCCTTTCAGGTTTCCTCTCAGCGTTACGCGTTTCTTTTCACCCAATTTCAAATTCTTTCTTATACTACATTTTCAAAAAGTACACATAAGCTAGAAAATTTGAAAAATACAGAGAATAACGAACTTCATGCGTATGTTTTCTTGTTTTAAAAAAATCTATTTAGCCTTTATATTCTATAAGGTAATTTCCAGTTATAGAAATATACTAATCACTGGTTCTATCTATCCATCCATCCTTTCATCTGACACACTAACAGTGATAACAATTATGAATAATAATCATATTAATAAGCAGAGGGCATTCATAAAATATTTACTTTTGTTTCAGAAACTCTGTTGAATGCTTTACATAGGCTATGTCATTTATTCCTCTCAATGATGTATATAAATATCCCCATTTAACAAATGAGAAAGCTGAGGCACAGAGGAGATCATAACTTGATCAATGTCAAAATGAGTGACTGGCAATCCAATTAGTTTAATGCCAGAGACCATGATTTTCTACTCTGGTGGCAATCATCTATTCTTACAATCATCTATTCTACCCTTTACATATATTTGTAAAACTACCTAGTTATTTCAGTTTGGATTGAGCTTTTGGACTGCCAGCTCTCAATATCCATACATCTTCATGACACTAGTTTGTCTTAGACATTCTTCCTAGCACTAACTTCAGACTATGACTAGGGTGATCAGATTAACTTTTTAACCAAATCAGGACATTTCTGATAGTGAAAAGGGCTAGGTTGATAAGTGTGCTGGTTCATACTTACTAAGTCCCAGGTGTGAACTGGAACCACCCAGGCACAGGAGTACATGGAATCATTCTAACAGGCCACTAGGATATCCTTTCTCTGTTCCTAGTGCAGAACATAGGTCCTCTGAGGGCAAAACCAGGTATATAGTTCAATGGCCCCATGATACCTCCTTTATTTTTTCAGGATATGTTTTCTGGACAATTATTTTTCTTCTTTGTTATAGAGTAGAAAATTTAATAAGCAACCTAAGAAGAATAAAATATTCTAATATTCCTTTAGAGCTGATTAGCTATGAACACAGAGGTACATTCATTTATCACAGTTATAGTACAAGTATAAAATGACCTGTACCTTTAATAAGTCCTTTTTCTTGCAGAGTTTTCAGGGAAGGTCTTCGGGTAATAAACTTCTTTAATCTGCTTTTAACTCGATTTTTGTCGCTTGTATCGGAAGCACTATGATGCAGTCTGAACACTGAAGATTTAAAAAAATCAGAGGCTTTCAGTAAATTTCTCCTTTATGATTATTACTTTATGCAAATCTGACTAGAAAACAGTAGTTATGAAACAACTACCTGAATTAATATCTCGGGCTCTTCTGTCTAGAACAAGCCATGTGAGTAAAATTTGCCCACATGAAAGTATTAGTCCTGTTGCAGCATGAATGTACAATGAGAATGGGATTAGTTCCATATATTCACAATTTATTTTCACTTTCATTTCCTTATATTTAACGTAACCTTTACATGGATAATTCCATGTGTTTATACACAAAATTATGGTCAGAGTAAGGGAAAAATTCATCTAAGCTACAGGAGACAACTCTTTAGCATTGCCGATTTCAATTAAACAGGATTATATACTATCCCTAGCTTATGCAGGCATTTCTGAAGGTCCTGCTTGCTTGAATAACTTTGTCAATCTTCTTTTCTATATTAACCTGAAGTGATTTATTTTTCTGAAGCAGATATTTCTTACTCTCCTTATTGATGTATAATTACTACCAGTTCTAGGTGAAATTCAGAAACATAATTTGCCTCAAACTTTTTCCATGTCTTCATTAGTCCCCTCTCCTCTGCTTCCTATTCTCAGATTTATCTTCAAAGTCAGGTGTGTAAAATTCATTCCTGAACAAATATTTGCTGAATGTCTAATAATCAGACTCCATGCTAAAGGCTGTGAATTCAGGGATGAATATCATACATAAGGTCCTCCCACCCCAGCCTCCCAAGCAGCTGGGACTACTGGCTACACCTGACTAATTTTTTGGTTTTATTTATTTATTTATTTATTTATTTATTTTTCCTGGTGGAAATGGGATCGCACTTTGTTGCTCAGGCTGGACTCTTAACTCCTGGGCTAAAGTGAGCTGCTCACTTCAGCCTCCCAAAATGCCAGGATTACAGGTGTGAGCCACTGCACCTGGCCCAAGGTGTCTTATTATTAGTTACAGATAGTAATTTGTTGTGCCTGTAGATAAGATACATATCTTAACTGAACGCTCCACTGCCTTCATTCAACTGTTGACATAATGTGAGGGTTTGGGGTACTTTATTAAGTATTCTTTTTAATAAATGTAGACATGCTTCTGAAAATCTGTCTGGTCCAGGGAGAGAGAAACCTCCCTATAACTGGCAAAGTAAGGCAATTTTTGCATCCTCCTTTCCCTGCCTTTGACTACAAAGCAGACTCAAACTTGAGTTAGTAAAATGGGGAATTAAAGTGAAGTTCAAGACTGAGAATGACAGAAAAAGAAAAATATCGTGCTCATCTTCTAGCTGGGAGAAGGGTGGAATTTTATTTTTCAATCAAAGTTTGGATCATCACATGAGACTAGGTGCTGTAAATTACTAAACTGAGACAATTCTTGCCACTTGAAAATCTGTAATACTTTATATTACTTTAAAGTATTGCTTCCCAAATTTTGTACTATTGACATATGAGGGTAGACAATTTTTTGTTGTAGAGACCTGTCCTTTGTGTAGCATATGGAACAGCATCCATGGTGTCTACCCACAATATGCCAACAGCACGCCCTCCTTAATTATGACAATAAAATAAATGTCTCCAGACATTGCCATAGGTCCATGAGGGTGGAAGCTGGGGTACAGAATTACTTCCTGTTGATGATCATTCCCTTAAACTGATTGGAAAAGTTATAGGGTCATCTGAAGTTCTCATTTATCAGTGGAAGGTCTATCTATACACTGAGAAAATGTAAAAGAACTCTGAAAAAAATCTATATATCTATAGCATATGTGTGTGTGTATATATATACACACAATCTCATACATATCTACCATCTATGTATTTGTCATGAGCTATCTATTTTTTAAATGAATTGGTAATAAAAGGTGGACAGCTTCCCAGCTATTGGGCTCTTAAGAATGGACACAGGAGGAGGAACACCACACACCAGGGCCTGTCTGGGGTTGGGGGGAAGGGGAGGGATAGCATTAGGACAAATACCTAATGCATATGGGACTTAAAACCTACAGGCTTGATAGGTGCAGCAAACCACCATGGCACATATATACCTATGTAACAAACCTGCACACTCTGCACATGTATCCTGGAACTTAAAATTTTTAAAAAAAATTAAAGTAAATTTTTAAAAATTGGTTCTATAGGTGTGAGAGTTAACAGATGCCCTCAGCTCTCAGGGCAATTTAGGGAGGACCAAAACAGCCCGAGTCCTTGGGGTAGTTGTACTGTATATTCTTTGGCTATAAGCAGTTTCCACCGGTGTGTTATGCAAGTATGATTGTCTCTGTGTAGCTCAATAGTTTGAAAAGCACCGCTTTAGATTTGTGCTGTCCAAAGTATTAGCCACTAGTCAGTTGGGGCTATTGAACACGTGACATGCAGCTTGAGCCATTGGTTGAAATGATAATTTTTACATGTTTTCAGCTAAATAAAATATCTTGCTATTATTTAAATAGTTTCTTTTTACTTCTTAAAACGTGGCTACTAGAAGATTTTACGTTACACACGTTTCATGTTGGACAGTGCTGGAAGATAAAAAATAAACACAAATTGACCAACTTCTGTATACATGGCAGTGCTGGGTTTAACTGTTGTAGATAAAATATATATGGCCTGTGTAATTATTTATTTTTTACTTATTTTAATTAAATTAAATTAATTAATTAATTAATTTTGAGATGGAGTCTCGCTCTGTCGCCCAGGCTGGAGTGCAGTGGCCGGATCTCAGCTCACTGCAAGCTCCGCCTCTCGGGTTCACGCCATTCTCCTGCCTCAGCCTCCCGAGTAGCTGGGACTACAGGCGCCCACCACCTCACCCGGCTAGTTTTTTGTACTTTTTAGTAGAGACGGGGTTTCATCATGTTAGCCAGGATGGTCTCGATCTCCTGACCTCCTGATCCGCCCGTCTTGGCCTCCCAAAGTGCTGGGATTACAGGCTTGAGCCACCGCGGCCGGCCTTATTTTTATTTTTATTATTTATTTACTTTTGAGAAAATCGTTTCCCTCTGTCGCCTGGGCTGGATTGCAATTGCACGATCTTAGCTCACTGCAACCTCCGCTTCCCAGATTGAAGTGATTCTCATGCCTCAGTCTCCCGAGTAGCTGGGATTACAGGCATGAGCCACTATGCCTGGCTACTTTTTAGTTTTTTTTTTTTTTTTTTTTGAGACGGAGTCTCGCCCTGTTGCCCAGACTGGAGTGCAGTGGTGTGATCTCAGCTCACTGCAACCTTCGCCTCCCGGGTTTAAGCAATTCTCATGCATCAGCCTCCTGAGTAGCTGGGACTACGGGTGAGCACCACCATGCCCAGCTAATTTTTGTATTTTTAGTAGAAATGGGGTTTCACTATGTTGGCCAGGCTGGTCTCGAACTCCTGACCTCAAGTGATCCACCCCACTCCCAGCCTCCCAAAGTGCTGGAATTACAGGTGTGAGCTACCGCACCTGGCCTAAGTTTTGTATTTTTAATAGATGTGGGGTTTCACCATGTTGGCCAGGATGGTCTTGAACTCCTGGTCTCAAGTGATCCTCCTGCCTTATCCTCCCAAAGTGCTAGAATTACAGGTGTGAGCCGCCACGGCCACCTGACTGGCCTGTGTAATTATAATGCAGCACAGTAAGGAGTCAAATGGAAATGTACATGTACGAGACTAGAGGATCTAAGAGGAGGGATCGACCTCAGGTCATTTTGGAGAAATAACAAGTTGTCCTGAAAACCCAAGTAAACAAAAATTGCTTTTACAAGACCATGAATATCAGCCATTAACGAATTCAAAATCGTATAGTTGGAAGAGTCATTATGAGCATCTTAACAAAGTGTGTTTGTGTGCTATCCTATCAACTTTCCTTCTAGGTCTAGTCATTGCAGTGACCACCAGTCATGTATGATCTGCTTCAACTGACAGCTGTAGTCAAAGTCCCACAGGTCTGGGTTCTAGCGTTGGAGGCTGAAGAAACACTTAACATCCTTCAGAATAACTCTGCCTCTGGGCAATTTAGGTTTCAAGTCCATCTTTGGAATGACACAGAATAATCAATCTAAGTTTTCACAGGTTACGAAAGTAGTATTTTCTATTTCTGGTCTCACCTCAAAAACCTTGCATTTCCCATGACAGAATGCCAAGAAATGCAGGGCCAAGCAAGTTTTTTTTTTTTTCTTCCATTTGGAACTAGTAAAAATGATGCCATTAGAAAGTACTTTGCAAATTAAAATATACACACACGATGTATAAATGCTAGATTATGAAAATAATTATGGTGTGAGTTATATCTTTTTGAAACTCCCCTAGGTATTCTGGTGATAGTATTCTTAATTAGAGAGATATATATGTATATTATATTGTCTTCAATACCACCATCTGGCTCCACATGTGAGAAGTGTGTGTAAGGTGCATTGGTTTTTCAAAGAAAATGAAAATATGTTTTTAACTGCTTTATCTTGTTTCCTTCTCATACATACTGAGAAACTAGCAGAGTCTTGGATATGATTAGACAGTTTTTAACGTAGCCAAACTCTCCAAAGTTGCCTCTAATGATTACTTTCCTGGAGACAGACTAGAGCATCAACTTCCATTTCCTGATGCCATAAATAATTGTCCTCAGATGACAAGTCAAATTACAAGGCCTGTGCCATCATTCATTCCACTCATTTTGTGCTAAGAAGAGTTATGCAGAAGTTGAAGTCAATAGATGACTATAATATATAGCATACTTTTTATTAACCAAATAACTTGAAAGCACTATAAATACAAAATAAAAATGGTAAGAAGTGCATGGATATAAAGCAAGGTCCATCACTGGGACCCTGTAAACAGCAGTAAAAGTCTTTGAATATTGTGGTTTACAAGTCTGATTTTAACAGCCAAACTTATAAAACAGTTTACGCTTTTCTGTTGTCAAGGGAGAAAAACTTGCCAAATTGTTCATTTTAAGTAAATACAACATAACCAATTAAGGAAAGCAAAATTTAAACACATGCCTATGATAATCA